ACAGTGACAAAGTAGACAATTCGAAGATGACCCAGAGGTAGGCCAGATTCCCTAATCGCTCTGGAAGATACTGTTTAACTCACATGAGGGAATAGCCCTGACGCTCTGTTTAATCACCACACAGTTCTTCTACTGCCTTTGTGCTAATACTTAGATTTATTGGAAAATATCTGGAGATTATTTCCAATACCTGAGAAGTAAAATGAGGCTTTTTACAGCTGGAGAAAATTTAAGGACTGACGCATGTATAAGGGCAGTCAGTCAAACCGACAAAACTTCTCAATTTTAACCGAACAGGAAGTAAATCTAAAGAGACCGATTTTCGCCAAATAATCAAGCCATTATCATTCATGCCTCAATCATAGTGGAAATTACCAGGTCTGTGCATGTGCCCAGCAGCAGAGAATAAAAAATAGAAAAACCAAAGGATGATAATGGAGCTCCAACCGCATTATGAGTCCAGCGGGAGCCACAAACTGAGCTTCGGTGAAATACTGGCGCTCAGCCATACCTAAGCTTGATTGAGTGCAAATTAAATCTTGTTTCAACATCTGAATGGAAGGCAAACTATAACTATAACTGCCCAACAATCTATTTGGAGGCAATATCTGTAAAGACAATCGAATCAATAGAAAATTTAAGAGAGAGTAGATTTCAGAGGTTACATCTCAACGTTGTCTTTGTTTGTTTCTTTGTTTCTTGGTTTTACTTTCTGCTTCTGATTCACTTTCCAAACTAACTTTTACTTAAATTTTAGTAATGTGTGTGTGTGTGCGTGTGTGTGTGTAAGTTAGTAAATATAGAGATGTGTGTGACTTTTTGAGCTCTGAGTTTACATTGTGTGTAAATGTGTCCTTGTAGGAGTGTGAATATGTTTCATTGTAGGTGTGTGGTTGTGGTAAACATGTGTACAGGTGTGAAGGGGGCGCTGTTTAATATGTGTATATGCAGGAACTTGATTGTTGATTTTGAACACCCATTATTTAATTGGTGTTCAAACATGCAGCTGTGAGGTTGTAGGAGTGTAAAAGTGTAGGTGTGTGGCTGTAGGATTGTAAATATGTAGGTGTGTGTTTAAAGGGTGTAAATAAGTGTGGATGGACCCTGGCTGCTGGAGTCAGCGTGGCTCTGATCAGCTGTTGGCAGGCAGATATGGGGGTTCGCTGTCCCTGCAGCGGCACCCTGGGTCGAACGCTGGTTTGAAGTTTAATGATGCCAGCTGCCAGCTCCACCAGGCGGTGAGCGCTAACGAGCTGGCACCGGTGGAGGACTGGGCTGCGGCAACAGCACCTGGAAATGTAGCACACGTTTCATGGGGGCGGGGCTCCACCGGGGCTGCGGCTCGGCCTGCTGGAGACCCAAGACGGCAAGGAGAGGCCCGCGTCTCTTTGAAGAGTGGCCCAATTTCCATTTTTCATTACAGAGTGCTGACTGACAAGGCCCAGCCAGATGTTCTATTTTCAGCTATTTAGATCGTGACCTGCTTTTCTATAAAGAAATAGAAAAAACAGATGCCAGGAATGATGGGGTCTGGCACGTCTGCCTGTTTCTGATAACATCTTTATAAGACGCTGCATTTTTAAATTTTCTTGATGTTAATTCTCATTTATCCTTTTTCATTTCAGGCCTGTGTCTGACAGCGTATCCTCAGAGGTTCACTGTCTTGCTCAAGGACACTTAAACAAGTCAAACTGCCTGTCTCTGGGATCAAACCTGAGACCTTGTATTTATGACACAGTGTCTAACCATCCAGCAGTCCCACCACTGAAATAGCTCCTGAAGTGAGTGATGCATGTTCAGAAACAGCACATAAAGCATGCTCGCACAGGCCTTCTGTCCCTGAGATATCGGAATGATTAATTCCTCTGGTATTCCTGTTGAAATGGCCGGTAAATTGCAGCGTCCTTATTCAATCCCTCATGCAAAAATACATCGACAACCCTGACCTTTTTGTGCATCTGCTGCAAATTCCACTTTGTCATTCCGAGTGACCCAGCTCATGAGAATGAAGCTTCTATGAGTATTAAACAAGTGTCTGATTAATCCTGTGCTGGTTGAAGCAGCTGTGTCTGAGCCCGGGGTGTTGAACGAGTAAAGATCTCTTTGGATTAAAAGATAATAACAATAATCATTAAAAAAGAACTGTGAAATGCAAAAAAAAAAGGGCTTGGAGAGCACTTCTGATTCAAACTGTGTCTGTGTCCATGTTGGGTCGGAGATTTAAAGATATAACTAGATAACATGATAACAGGTGAGAATGGGTTTGATCTCAGCAAAGTGTAGAGCAAGTGCTCTACAGCAGCGTTTTTCAACCTTGGGGTTGCAACCCAACGTGGGGTCGCCTAGATTTCAAACGGGAAATGTCTGATGTTTAAAATTACTGACAAAAACATTTCTCAACTATTTATTATTCTTTACAACTCTGCAATTTATTCCCTTTCATGAATATAAATCGAGTTCAAATAAAAGGCACCATATAAACATATCTGAGCTGGCGCATCTTGATTGACAGCTGCGATCACGTGACTGCACAAGTGACAGCTACTTGTGTTCCTTTGAGTAGTTTGCACACTAAAATGGCTACTGTGTATTCTCAACACAGTATAACATGATTAGACTTGCCTACAGCACCAGTTATGGTAAACAACTTTAAAGTTATTATATCTGAGGGGCAAATCGACAAACAGCTGGAATCAAACCTTGAACCTTGTTTTGAAGGACAACCTCTATTTCCAGTTCTACAAAAGAAAAACTCAAGATTCCTCGATGGTAAAATGACAATATTTCAGTCAGCTGACATATCAATCATGGCTGGTCACAGGCATAAAACATGTAATAATGTTGAATGTAATCAGAATGCTTTGTTAGAATAAGTCTCTGCCCAGGCAGAGACAAACACACACACACATACTCAGACACAGTCACTGGACAACCTGACCTTTGGTTTGACTTTCACAAAGGAAATCAGAAGCTGAAAAATTGAGCACTACATTTTCCCCCCTCATTATTTTATTTTTCTTTGATTTCATTTATCTTTGTCCGTAGGCAGAAAAGAGTTGAATTCAACATGTGGGTCAGGGATCATGAAGAGGAGGAGCAGGAGGAAGAGGAGGGTAAGGATACAGCTCAGATAAAGTCCACAGTTGCAATCGTCCAGTATCCTTAGAGAATTCAGTAGAACTAAGCCATTTGACCTCTGACCACTGCAGCTGTCTGTCAAACACTCACCCTCAGTGGTGATTGTTTTCAGTCTTGATTAGGAAAAATCCCTCCACCAGTGATGATGAAGCAGAACAACTTTAATGTCAGGCAACCAAACATGTCCATCATTAAATCATCATTAAATATTAAGACAAATTTCATTCCTTTTTTTCAATGTAAAAAACCTGTAAACATTATTCAGGATGTAAAAGTCTACGCTGGTTTCTTAAACATATACGTACTAAACAACCTGAGATTAAGGCTGCAGCTACAAGTCCTCAGCTGTGGGCTGGTAAGTTGAAAAACACATTCTGCTGTTTTTGTCAGTTAACATAGAGGTTGGACAGTGTTTTGGGTTTTTTTTTTTTTTTTTTCTTATCAAGGTGGCTTTCATGCAAGAAGCTTTTTATGTTATTATTATTAATATTCAAGGTCACCTGGTACTTTAAGTAATGACTTAAGTTTTAAAGCTCCAACACTGTTTGGTCCAACCTGATGTTCCTTTAAAACTCTATGGTTTTCTACCGCTTAATTATTTTAAGGTCACAGGCTGAGCTGGAGCATGTCTCAGCATTCATCAGGTGAGGACATGAACATGTGACCAGTCCATCACAGGGCTTACATACAATGCTCACAACATCCTCACAATTACCATGTAATTTCCCCTAGGTTTGTCCAAGAATGGCCTAAAGATTAAATTTATATATTATTTTATTTAGGTCTTAAACAATTTAGTTAATTTCACCTTAAACTGCAACAAAAACGAAATCTGAAGATGTTAAGATGAAGTCAGTGACTAGTGTGGACTGAAAGCAACTAAGATGTTCTTTGAAAATGAAAATTTTTATCAGTCCAAGAAAATTTCCTGTTGTGTTTCCAATTGACAGTATTTGGTGACCTTGAACACAGTGTGGTTAGAAAAGGCTGGTTACACCAAGTTTTTTGCCATCAAGTCTAGTTCCATTACCTAAAAAAAAAAGGTATTTGAATTTGTAGTACACAACGAGTACTCATGGTGAACACTGACAATTGAAATGTTCCACAAAATGGAACCACGTACACAAGACATGCCAGAAGTTAAATTTCACTTTCTCTTGCTGACAAGAAAAAGGAAGAAGGGAGAAATAAATGTGTGGACTGTGCCAGCAGAACTGCAGAGGCAGGGTGAAGATTTAGGCGTGGGCTTCTATTCAAACATGAAGGTCTCCTTGACATTTTCTGCGCCGTACTGGCTGCTCATCCTTGTCACACTTCTCCAAACTGCAGATGGAAAAGCACAACCTGCTGACATTTACAAACTCATCTGGCTGAGGGAGATGGCATTCTGTAAGAAGAGGCACCGGTAAACATCGCTGCACCGCCCTTCTTCCACTGCACTGTGTTACATATGAACATGTTATTACTTTAAACAAACAGCAGTTAGCCTTTGCTGCCAGACATTTTATCTCTTCACAAGGCTATGCCCAAAGGATTTTCAATATAGATTCAACAGCAGAAAGTTGTAGGCCATAAGAAACAGGACTCAAATCCACAGAGAAAGTCAACAGTTCAAACATGACAATGTTTCTCTGCTAACCCCAATCGAGATCAACTTCTACACAACAGCCAAGAATAGTAAGGCACCAGGAGCAAGATGCAGGCAGCACCAAGGTCACACGAGGTGAAAACACAACAAATGGCAGAAGAACGTGTGGGAGGGAGCCGCAAAAAAACAGGTATAATAAGCTGCCAGTGATCATGCAAATAACAGCGTGGCATCAGGCATAAAAATGAAACAAGTGAAATGACAACAAATGACACTAGTTCTTTTCTCTGTAGAGAGAAAAAAAGCCACATGCTTTATTGACAACCGCTGACAAATAATACGTTTGCAAAAAAAGCAAATGGGACAAAATGGAGAACCTATAAATAGAAATCATTGTGCGGGTTTAGCTTCTGCATCCTCAGGTTCTTCACAGAGAAGTCCGATGTGCTCCGAGGATTATCCCATGTTTGTACCATTGGCCCCATTGCTGCAAACTTAGAAGTCAGGACCTTCTTTCTTCAGTTTGCTGTAGTCAATGCTGACAGAATAAAACTACAAATACAAACAAATAATATATTTTAAAATGTTGAGTCCTCTTTTTATGCAATATATTATAATTTAAAAGAGAAACAATGTAAAAGGTACTAAATACATCTCTGTGAACAACTACTGTGAATTTAAGCTTGAATTTATTTCAAGATTTAAGTGGGTTAACGGAGAATGTTACCTTGTACTGATCAGTTGGGCCCAGTTTGTTCCAGGGCTCTGGGTTGTTCTTGCGATCCCAGCTACACGTGACAACAGTTAATTATTGAAGAGGTTAGAATAAAAGGAGAAGCATTCATAGGAAATTATTTTTGCCTGTCCATTAAGATCTTATGTAGCAAATGAATAAATGTTACATACTATATATAATTTGGTGTTTCAAATATTATCATTTAATAGAAACAATGATAATCAGTATTTGATTATCTCAAATTAAAAATGTTCCACATAAAAAGAGATGAGAAACCAGGTCAACCAAAATTTGATAATGACCCAAGTTCCACCAATAAGCAAATTATCTGAATCCCTTTACTTATTTTCCTGAACTAAATATTTACTGGAGAAAAACTAAAACTAAAAAAAGCATCAAGCAGGGGTAAATACCAGACATCGGGGTTTCGGATGGCAAGGCGAGCGAGATAGGCCATTGACATGGTAACACCTCCACCAATGAAGGCAAAAAGGGGGATGAGCTAAAAAAATAAACATAAAAACTTCAATAACTTCAAGCAAAATTTAAACAGCCTCTATAAATTGTACACATAAAAACAACAATGCTGCTAACAATGACAGAAACAACTCACGAGTGCCAAAAAAAAAAACTGGAGAAGTCAAAGGTCAGCTTTATAGGACTGATGTGACAACAGACAGAGTGGAGCTCATAAAAATGTAATACGTGACTACTGGCTTTGCTATTTCCGTGAAACTGAAATGACAGCTGATAATGATTATGATTTTTTGTTGTTGTTGTTTGCTTGTTTTTTGGCTACCTTGTACACCAAATTGTTCCTTTCTAAAACAAATTGACTTATGATGCACCGCGTACTAACCTGTGTTTAAACTTTAATACCTAATTAATAGAAGTCAAACAAAGATTTGTTTCGTCTTATATTCCGTGGTTGTAAGTTAACGTTGCAAGCAATACAAAAGCCGATTAACTGTGAAAGTGTTTAATTATTTACTTCTAACTCCAATACAAGACCCATATGCTAGTATATAATATTTATTTTAATTACGTTCTGGGCGTAATTACTAGTTGTATTAGTTTCCCCGCACTTCTCTTTTAATTCCGTACACATTAAATTAATTAAGTAATAATGTTAGCATGTGATACTAGAATGTGAGGCTTTGCTCGGCACGCTAACAATTCCATAGCCTGTGTGCCTGGTAGCTGCTATTTTTGGAGCAGTTCAGCGTCCTCGGTCAAAACCTGTATCACCAAACGTGTGCGGGGGGAAACGTGACCTAAGTTGACTTCAAGTTTACAGTACACAGTCAGTCAGTGATAACATACATCAACAATATATAAACACATTTATTTTGTAGAAAGATTTCTACATGTGGTCACAGCTATCGATTTTGTAGGTGCTAACTAGTTTACCTTGCTTAGTCTAAGCTAAAGGAAGCTAACCACAAAAATCTAAAGATGATTTGAATTCGAGGTAAAAACAAATGTTTTAACTTACAGCCGGATGGGTTCTCAGCTGTTTTCCAACGACGGCCAGCATTTCGACTACTGTCGGAGTCCTGTAGAACAGTGTTTACAGATAAATAAACGGCTTTTGAGCTTGGCCAAACCCCTTGTGGACCTTAATCTGACATATGAAACGCTCGTGCGAGGAAGTAGGATACTGAAGATATCGCCTGATAAAAAAACGTTTCTAATTGAGGTTCAGCTTGCGAATAGAGAATATCATACCTCTATTAATTTGATTTGTGCATATATATAATATAATTATTTCTAATGTTAAATCCTCAAACGGCGCAGTCATTCTAGCCTTAGTGTCTTAACTATTTTCATTCTGGCAAATACATTGGCGTCATCTTTTAGCCCAAAACAAGAACGAGTGTCGTCTATAAAAAAATAATAATCAAATTTCTTTCATTTAAAATATTGTTATGCATTAAATACTTTTTCAAATGTGTTTTTTAATGTCACACATTTCTTTCTAGTCTTGGTAACCGTAGGTGACTGTAATCAACATTATCCTAGGTGAAGACTTATAATACAACAATAATTAACGCATTTAAATGGCATCAAATACGTTTACAAGTGGCAGAATTAATTATTAACAAGGGAGGCATGATGGAGATAAGGGAACTTGTTCCTGTTCAGTACCTGTCCCTAACACCCACGGTAGATGGCGCTGTTTCTATTCAATAAATAAATGTATTGCCCGAGATGTCCAAAGGTATGTTTGAGCAACATTCTTTGCTCAGAATGGATCTTGACTGTATAAGGTGGTGGTGATATACTAATGTGGTATTTCACACCTAAAGTTGAATGGCTGTGTACTCCATTTTGACTGTTCAGTTGACTTAATTCTCAATGTGTGGTTTAGGACTACAAATGGAAATCTAAATAAACAAAGCAAATGTCAACAAAGCATAAACATTTGTAGTAATAATTTGAAAAAATTGCAGCAAAAATTAAAACATTTTGCCAAAAAGAAAAAAACATTTATAGTGAACCCAGATAAAGGTACAAGACAACAATGTAGAATCTTATGAAATAATAATCATATACTAGTACTAATAATCATATACTATACTATCCAAGAGGTTATCTTTAAGTTCACCCTGGCCAGATAAAAACTTGCTAAAGAGAAGCTATAAAATTCATAAAGTTGACATAACATAATCTAAATGACCTGGAAATGACTGAGAGAAAATGTTATTTTGAAAAAAAGTTATTTTGAGGAAAAGAAAAAAAGTGACCCTGTTTGTCACAAAAATGTCCATGTGAAAAGATTACAATGAACATCTTTTGAAAGACATCTAAAAATGTCTTTCAAAAACAATTCAAACATCGCACATAAATGCAAGCAGACATGTGATATTTGCTATTTTTGTGAAATACAAATAAATAGTAATTTATTTGAAATAATCAATTAAATGATGTAAAATAAAAAAACATGAAATATCAAATCTTCCCATTAATGGAAAGTTATTTTCAACTTAGAAAATAAAAACCATTGTAATAGTAAGAGGGGATACAACAGGCTACAGAAAATCATTCATATTTTATAAATGGCAGGACCCTCAGCTGTCTGGTTGCCAAGACATCAAAGCAAAATTTTGTAAACTCAGCCTCATTTTATGGGATGTTTATGGATTCATAAATGTTAAAATAGATTAAGCCTAGACAGGGGATATCACTGCTTTCAGAGACAATGTGAAGTTGTCCAAATAAAGCATTTTCCAGATGCAGTTTTCAGTCGGTCCTAATTCCTTCATTAACCTTTCATGACCTGGGATCAGAAAATGCAGCGCAATTATCACATCATATCTCATTCAAACTTGTTCCCTAAAAATTACTCTATTGTATATCAACAGAAAACAACCCAAGTCAGGGTTCAAAGCTACAATAAAGTATTTGTGAATTACATTGAAGTTTAAAATCTGACTCTTCAACAAATCATCATCTGCATAATCAGAACTATTTGGACAAGGGTTGTCACTTTTTTGAACATATACAAACAAATGTGGGTGGGTGAAGGGGTCTAGTTTTAATGTGTGTTTTTAACCTGTTAACCGAGTGGTGTCCACATGCTCCGGCATGGGGCGCTTTAAGTGCAGCTGAATTTTTGATGATGGGGAGAATGCAGTGCCACTTAACTGTTAGCAAACAAGCTAAACAGTCTTCCTGGACTATTAAGTGATTCTTAAAAAGAGTGTTAATTCTACAGAACCCAAAATAATCCAGCTATTCCATCACATTGTCACTTACTGAAAATGTATATTTGTAATGTGTATATGTGTTTTTTGGCACAATGTTTCTGCATATGTCCCAGAAAATGCTCCTTTGACATAATAATAAAAGACGTTACTACCTTCTGTAATTTTTTTCTGTATTTTTGTGTGCAGCGGCACGCTACAACTCCATGTGTCTAGCCTGTTACATAACATTTCTCTGAACCTGACTTTACAAAAAAAATGACGACCCCTGACGGCACACAATGTCTTCTTAAAATGAGATACTGGCTTCTGAGTGTTTGCATCGGCACTGAAATGTTTTGGCTTCAGACGTTTCAATGAGTCGTTTTCTTGGGGCCTTTGCCAAATTTTGCGTCCAATCCGAGTCCTTGGAAAGAAAAAACAAAAACATAAACACAGAGTGAAGAGCTGAACAGAGAATAAAAATCACATGGATTAAACTAGAACTAAGAACAGAAACACCAGTGACAGATAAAAAACACTATATACTCAGTGTTCAAATGTACTGACTCTCCTACAGCTATACTCCAAATGCATAATTCATCAGGAAACCAAGTGATTTGTGTAGGGAGCCTAAACATCCACTGACTGGCCCTAATTACTTGTTATAACAAACAAATACAGTAACTTCCAACAGGGATGTAACCTGTCACTACTTCACTGTGGTACGCAGCACTAACAAGAAAAGTGGGACATTTAAGGAGACAGGAGAGGGAAGACAGCAATCAACAACAATAAATTCTCACCTAGGAAAACTAGGACAGTTCCAAGCCACTGCATGGTAGACATGACGTTACCAAATAGAAGCACAGAGCCCAGTATGGTGAAGAACTTCCTCGTGGTGGTGACGATGGAGCAGGTCAGCGGCCCAAAGTGCACCACAGTCATAAAAATGAATGTCTGGTGGAGAGGTAGAAACAAACTATTTTATTTCCCCAGACACTGTCAGAGTACATTTTCAAATTTTAATACAAGTGAACCAACGACATGTAAAATTAAATCATATAGTGAGCCATTTGCAGACACTGCCATGTCTTAATAAGTATCTGTTTAAAAATGCCTGATGCATGCAATAAGAACACATGATAGAAGACGAGTAATAAAAATGTGAGCTGTGTCTTGAAATCTTGAAATTCCAAATGCTATTCCTTTGAAATTTAAACTTGATATTCCTTCCCCATTTAGTGTGAAGTCATAAAATGAGGCAAGTTATTTTTTCTTTAAGCTCAGCATTTAGGGCAAAAAAGTTAAAACTTTAAAAAACACATTAAACAAGGCAATCACCTGTCCTGCAGCACTGGTCAGCCCAAACAGTAGAATATTGTAGAAAATGTTGGGGTAGCGTTCAGCAAAACTCAGGAATTCCCATATCTCCCCTGTCCACAACACAGCTGACAGCGGGAAGAGAGGAAATCATGGAAATGTCATTTCAAAAACAGACATTACAAGTAATGGTAAAACATTCTTCTCATCGTTGCATTATTTGACACTGTATATGTGAGCGTGTACTGCCACCCTGTGGTTCAACGAAGCAACAACGGTCAAATAAAGCAAACCATCCTGACAGTACACTGTACCACTTCAAAGCTTTCAAAGACAAGCTTCTAACAGCAGCGGCTATAAAATAACGACATTATATTTTTTATTCAAATAGTAATACAAAAGAGATATTTAATATAATTTATTAAAACCAGCAAATTTGTTCCCATCCACATCTGATTACATCTGTAATCATTTAGACTCTTGCTATGGTAGGTATCCAAGTTATCCAACCAAAGATTAGTTATTAGTTAAAGATGAGTTATTTTCATTTGTGGAGTAGCAGCAAGATTTCAATTAGTAGCCAATTTGAACAGAAAGTGAGAGGTGTTTTACACCAATAACACATTTCTATTGAAATGTAGTCATTGGAATTTTGGTTAAATATGCCTCAAAAGTGAGTCAGAATCAGTATCAGACTTCTCTAATTATTTTGTAATAAGAAGATTATTAAGAAGAAAATTATTTTTATATCCACTTTGAAACTTTGTGAGTATGTAAACAATTAAAATTATATTGCTGATGTCCAAATAAGTATTATTAACCAAACAAGGCTATTATTTTGTTTTACTTCTGTAGTTGCACCAGTGCCAAAAGACTGAAAACTACAGACTTACCGAGCCCCAGCACCAGGCTGGACCACAGGTTGATGTTCAGCATCATGTGATTGGCACTTGCTTGATAGCGACCCCTTATTTGGTCCTGGGCTACACCAGTCAAACCATCTAATGTCAAGGATACCAGCTATAGCAGAGAAAAACAACATAACCCACAGGTCTGGAATTGCCACAGTAGATGAAGATTGATGGTAAAATGTAAAATTAAAATCTAAAAAAACAAAATACTACTAACGGAAAGATAGACTTAAAATATTTTAACTCACCAGCAAAATCTCCCCGAAACCAAATGAATGGTTGTCTGCAACTTTTGAACTGTTGGGTTTGTAGAGGAACAAAGCTACACCACTCACAATCAACAGAACACACAGATACTTGGCTGGTGGATACCTCTTTCTTAGTATCGTAACTCCAAGAAGCATTACTGAAACGATACACCAAAAAATGTGATGGAATTATTCAGGACATGATTAATAAAACAGTTTCACATGTTTGAGGTGTGATCTAATCGCACGCTGCACATGTCAAACATTTACTGCTGAGAGTGCAACATATCGGATCAGAGAAAACTTGTGCATGTGTGTGTTCAAGAACAGATAAGCTAAGTGCCAGCAAAGGTTACTTTGTGGTTCATACATAATACAGTACACTGTGAAAAGTCACAGCTGTCAAGGTTACACAATGAAACAGTTTAAATCACCAGTCAACATTACAAAGATTAGAAAGTATTTTTGTCAAGTATGCAATACATAGTACACAGAGCATACCAACTTGTACCTATGTAAACATAGAAATCATAGATATGGAAATTTACGAGAGGTCAAAAGGTTGGACAGTTGGATATAATTTTCCATTTGTTTTGTTTTTATATATATTGTTCTTACCTGGAATAGGCTTACAGGATTTGCCCAATACCTGACAGGACAAAACAGGTTTTTTTATGATTACAAAAAAAATTCATAAAAATTCAGGTCCAAGTAATTATATAATAAAAAACGGAAAAGGAAAACACACCTGTGTGGGATAGTTAACATACTGAAGGGCGGAGTTACTGGACACCATAGCTCCAACGTATGAGAGGGAGCAGAGTCCATAAAGCCAACTTGCAGATTGATCTGGTTTAGGGCCCTCAAAAAACTGGATCACTGACAAACAAAAACAAAAGTAATGTTGTACAAGTTTGTACAAAAAACAGTTTGTTTGTTATTTTCCTTCACAGTTTCCACTTACAGATCTTAGCAAAAACAGCATTGATAATACACTGGATAAACACCAGTGTTCTTGCATATCTAAACTTTTCCTTGGTGTCTCCCTGGCCATATTCACCACGGGTACTGTAAAAGGTAGAGAAACCACAGGGTTTTATGTGAGTGCATGGTGAAACCGGAAACCGGAAACGACATGAAATTTCATAATTAGGAATGAAGTTAGTCTAGTAACAGTTGTTTACATCTGCAAACCCAGCTGTAGAAACTCTAAATCCTTATGTACGTAGAGTTAAAAACAGCAAACCCAATATATATATTACTATAGCCCTATGCTGTACTTTATTTTCTTACAATCTTTACTGTACTTTGCTGGTGTAAACACTGATTTCCCAAAGGACTTATTATCCAAAAAGGGAGATATGTAATTATATTACATCTGACAATGGGTGTGGTTGTACTGAAGATCGTGGATAATCTTGCTTGGTTGGTTGGTCAGCATTATGTAGCTAAGGAAACCAGGAAGTCTTTCCTTGCTATTATAAACAGAAATAAATACAGGCTATGAAAGACAAAAAATAAGGTTTCAATTACTTGTTGATCTCCGTGCCTTTCTTTCATACTAGTACGCTAGCTGTTTTGAAACCACATTTGTTTTCTATCCGATCCATCTAGAGTGACATATCATATATCATGTATGGTAGACAACAGAGACTGACGTCATCTTATCTTAGAGCCACATATCAACATACAACCTGCTGACCTGTCGTAAAGAATGCCATGCAATACGTTTAATGCATAGCACTTCGTCATTTTCAATATTATTAAACTTCTTAGAAGAAGGTAGCATACTTCTCATAATGCACTCTACATGCAAGCGTAAACAACACCATGCAATTAGTGGTCTTTTTTTAACTTACATAGTTTCTTGTAGTATTCCGTAGTAAAAATAGCACACGAAGACTCCGAGGAAGCAAACAATGAATCTTATCTGCATATTGTCCCACATGGAACCGAGCTTCCTCGATCCCTTCCCCGCGGCCATGCTGTCGTCCAGTAGCCCAGCTATGGAAACCGACACTGCTGCGCTCCCCGCGTCCTTTCCACCGACTTCCCGCTCCACAATGAACTACAACCGATGTCACGAACCCGGAAATCGATTATCCTCAAGAAGATTCCCCACTATAACTTCCTTTCGTCTGTTTGTGTCAGATATAACTGTACGTTTAACCGCTCAGCGCAATCAAGTCATTATTGCTTGTTTCTTATCATTCCGTCACTGACTGCCTCACTATCTACTCTAGGAGAATTGTAAAGCCAACAGCATCTTAATCCCGAATGAAGAAAAGAACTGTCAGTGGATGAAGTCTGTTTCTTCTTTTAGAAACAGAGTTTATAATAAAAAAAAGATCGCGTCAGGGAAAACAGGTTTTGTTGAAGGACCCCAAGGTTGTCTGCAGCAATGCCTAAGAAAATAATGTAAAGTCAGCTTTCTAAATGAAAAATGCAAAACACGAACATGTTTTAAAATGATTATATTTAACTAAAAAGACGATACGATTTAAATACAACACCCAAGCACATGAGTGGTTGTCAAACCCGTTCTTTACCAAATAGCGAATACGAGGACTGCTATCTAACACTGGAGGACTTTCATGAAAATGTCGCGTGTCCCTACGTCGTCCTAAGATGTGGATTGGAATGAGTGGTTTTTGTAACAAGATATGTTCCTCGTCGACCAATCACATAGGGGGAATGCGTCGGTACTCGTGTTAAAATAACACACATCCACGTGTCACATGCAAATATAAAATAAACGTATGTCAATTGGCAGGCTCCAAAAATGTATTTTATTCTTGTTACATTTGCAACAGAATGATTAACATATTTTATCGTCACTACGATAAAATAGTTGTTGACTATCATGTGACACTGTAAACGTTGGTGTTTTGTAATTCTTGTTACTTAGCAAACCTAATGCTTTTAGAGACTTTTATTATCCGTTCACAACAAGAGTAGCAGTCAAATTGAACATTTGAAACTTGAACTTTCACTAACTAACTAAACTTTTCACTTCAAGCACTAACCTCCAACTAATGTTGTGCAAGATGACATTTAATGATAATAATAATAAATTCATCCATCCATCCATTTTCATCCGCTTATCTGTTACTGGGTCGCGGGGGCAGCAGTCGCCACCCAAATCACATTGCACCGTACCAACCCCCCCAAACCTTCCTGCGGGTGGTGAGTCCACTGGAAGGTACCAACCACCCTAACCGGGATTTGATCTTGCCCAGGAGGTGAATCCTGGGGTTCCACACCAATGACAGAGACATTGCCTCTGGGCCAAAGCACCACAATAATAAATTCACCTTGTGCTATTTGCTGTTTGTATTGCAGTATTAAAAACACAGCATTTATATTTTGGAATATATTCTTATTTTATTTCCTTGCAATCAAAGGTAACGTTAATTTTGGTGTTGAAACAGATGTAACAGAAGACCGTTCAAAACAAGCAACATCCATCTCATGCACGCCTCCAAGCTAATAAAATGCTGAGAGACATGTACTTTGTTGGTAATGCCAAGTCCTTAATACAACCATCAAGACATAGATTGGTGAGAGTCTTCCTTAGCACTGAAAATAATTCTTTACAGCAGTTGTAAATGAACCAAGCGACATGAATTTGGTTCATTTTCTCCATTATGATACAGAAATTCTATATTTATATCCCTAAAATAATTGGTGGAAATGCAATTTTACATTTTTATAGAGGTCGCAAATGAAGATGAAACCAATGTTTACCAGTATAAACAGAATTATTATTTCAGTACAAGTGCTAAGTGCTCAGGTTTTTTGCCTTTGAATTCACTTGGTTTGGAAAAATAATTATCCCACTAGGCATGAATCCTTTTTTGAGTTGTCTTAAAACCAAACATATGAACACATCAGTCTTTTATCAGAATTTACTCATTTAGTCATTCCAGAGTTGGAGTCCTGAGGTTATATACTCAAGTGCTCAAATGCGTGCTGATGCACACATATAGGATGGGCAAACATTTCTTTGTCCAATATTATTCTTTTGCTGGTCGAGAAAAACCTAACTGTTGAAGAATTTGTGCATGTTACAGCAGAGACAAACTGGATATGCAAAACATCTTGTTGTTCAAACAGTTCACTTCCTGGCTGTGCACTGTGGTGAATTCCAGCAGGAACCAGAGTCTACCTACTGCATGCCTAAATGCCTGGTGGGTGAGGTTTGATCTGAGCAGGCAGTGACAGGAGAGACTGACAGGCCACGAAATAGTAGGTCCATGGATGGTAGGAGGGGCTTCGGAAGGCTGACAGGACAGAAAGCAGAACCTCCGTGGGGGGTAAAGTTCACTTTATTAGGGTCAGGGCAAGATGGCTGGAGGATAGGTTCAATCTGACATGAAGACCTGGAGATTAAAAGATGGAGAAAGTAGTAAACAGTAGGATTTTGGGGCTAGGACTGACACTGAACAGTAACCAAATTAAGTAGCTAAATGTTGAAAAAATTGTTTTTTTTTTAAACATGTCAACATGTATCTTTACATCAACCAATTGCATTGTACCATCCAAGTATTCTGGCACACTGCTGCAAGACAGCAAAGACTGATATTTCAACCACTTATGTTCACTTCAGTCAGTCAGTACATAGGTCTGAATGCATTTTTTTAAAACAACTAGAACATTCATTTTCACATTACAGTCTTATATTTAAATTGGGACTTACATTGTCTCATCACATACTCTAACTCGCTCACAGCCTTCTGGTGGTTCACGCTGAAAGGAATAGGTTTTATTGGGCCGAGGAGAGGAGGAGCAGGGCTGCATCAGAGGTGGATCCAGAGCAAAGGAAGGAAGCAGTTTAGATGGAGAGGGACAAAGAACCTTACAATCCTCCAGCTCTGTGGGGTCAGAAATATCCAGTTTATGTAGTACCCAGTACACAGGAACAAAGTTAAATGATAGTGTTGTCTTACCTGGCTCCACCATATGACATGGAGATTGTGACAGCAGTGGGTTCAAGGCATGAGAGGAATGAGAAGTCAACAGAAGAGATGGATCTAAAGGACATGGGGATGGACAAGGAGAAAGGAGCGAAGGGTCCAAGGGTTCTGGAGAGGGTTCACTCTGTGAACCACTACTGCATCTCTGTATAGGAGCAGGAGCCCTGTGACCGTCCGGGGTATCCAAGATCTGTAATAATATGAGGCCCACAGTGATGTCAATGAACGACTTCTGTACTGTTTCATCATATCTACTCTGTGTCACTGGTTTTATTCATAGCTAAGCTCACTAACCTCACTCTGATCGATGGGTTTCTCAGACACAAAGACCTCTTCTAGCTCAAGGTTCAGGCCTTCAACACTGCGTCGTAGTCGTGTGGCGAGTCTGTTCAGTGGCATCAGGGGCGTTGTCTGGAAACAACAATTGAAATTAATTTGAATACATATAGGTGGCAGACATGTCTTGATGTCTGATATGACACAAGATTAAAAACACTGCATCAAATCACCCGTCAGCTGCTGAAGAGAAGTTCAGATGTGTGGACTGAAAGATAGATTTTAAATAAAATGAAAAAGAAATCCACACATGCTGAAAGGCACAGAAACTCCTGAACCATCATCCACTGTCTACCTGTCAAAGTCAATGAAGCGACTGTGAAAATACAATAAGGAATAATGGCCCTCTAACTTTTAATAAGTCTATATATAAGTTGATTTCAAATGACTGAGATTATCTAGCAACAACAATCATGTTATTCAAATTATTCTTTCTATTCCACGTTCTGTTTTCTTGTTAAAAGTGTTTTGGGGAAGTAAAAAGGTTTCTTACTAGACATGGAGCTATAGAAGTGGTTACAGAATACTTCATAAGAAGAAATAAACATTTTTATCTTCAGTTAAATCAGCAAAAAAACAACTGGCCCTCGTTGTGGGT